ATCATCATCAGCAGCAGCACCAGCTGCATCATCCTCATCATCATCAACATCAACAAGGTACAGGCCGGCATGGTCCCCCCGGGGTCCGGGGCTTCACTTCCCGCGTCCGCCACAGTGGAGGAGGCCGGTCCCGCCCCCCCGGTGAGTCGGAGGGGGGGGGGGGGGAACAACACAACACAACACAACGGAATCCGTTCGGGACCCTCTAGGAGTCTTTGGATCCCTCCAGGGACTCTATAGAATCCCTGTGGATCCCTCCAGGGACTCTATAGAATCCCTGTGGATCCCTCCAGGGACTCTATAGAATCCCTGTGGATCCCTCCAGGGACTCCCTGTGGATCCCTCCAGGGACTCTATAGACTCCCTCCAGGGACTCTATAGAATCCCTGTGGATCCCTCTAGGGACTCTATAGACTCCCTGTGGATCCCTCCAGGGACTCTATAGACTCCCTGTGGATCCCTCCAGGGACTCTATAGACTCCCTGTGGATCCCTCCAGGGACTCTATAGAATCCCTGTGGATCCCTCCAGGGACTCTATAGACTCCCTGTGGATCCCTACAGGGACCTCTAGACTCCTGTGGATCCCTACAGGGACCCTCTAGAATCCCTGTGGATCCCTACAGGGACCCTATAGAATCCCTCTGGATCCCTACAAGGACCCTACAGGGATCTGAGAGGATCCCTGTGGATCCCTACAAGCATCCTAGAGGATCCCTGTGGATCCCTACAAGCATCCTAGAGGATCCCTGTGGATCCCTACAAGCATCCTAGAGGATCCCTGTGGATCCCTACAAGCATCCTAGAGGATCCCTGTGGATCCCTACAAGCATCCTAGAGGATCCCTGTGGATCCCTACAAGGATCCCTACAGGGACCCTCTAGATCCCTCTATGGGACCCTAAATAGAGGGGCCCTATGGGGCCCCTCTATAGGGACCCTAAGATCCCTACAGACTCCCTGTAGATCCCTACAAGAACCCTAAATAGAGGGGCCCTATGGGATCCCTCTAGATCCCTACAGGGACCCTAGAGGATCACTATGGATCCCTACAGGGACCCTACAGGATCCCTGTAGGGATCATCATGGTCCTCATCATCCTCATCGGCTCCTCGTCCGCCCAAATCCTCATAATCATGCAACTCCTCTTCTTCCTTATCCTCACCCTCCTCATCATCAGCATAATCGTCATCATCAGCCTTGTTTTCGTTATCCTCTTCCTCGTCCTGCTCCTCCTCGCCCCCACCCCCCGTGGCCCCAGGGGGCGGCGCACGCGCGACAGACCACGTCAGCGGCGATGATCGACGGCTCCACCCCAGTCTTCCACATTCGGTATCATTCCTCGTCCTCCCCCTCCCCCCTGGTCTGTCCTACTCATCCCACGTTCCTCCTCTTCCACGTACATCCTCCTCCTCCTCCTCCTCCTCCTCCTCCTCCCCCTCCTCCCCCTCCTCCTCCTCCTCCTCCTCCTCCTCCTCCTTCTGCTGAAGACCAAAACGAATGTCGACGACACGTGTCGGAAACTCCCAACAAGGACAGCGGATTCCAAGGGTGTCCTCCGCACGGCCCATCAGGCCCCATGGACGGCCCGGGACGGCCCCAACAGAGCCCCAACCTGGCCCAAGACGGCCCCAAAAGAGCCCCAAACGGGTCCAACAAGGCCTCTGGAAGGACCCAAGATGACCTCCAATACCCTTCGAAAACAGCCCCAGCAAACCGCCAGGGCGTCCTTCCTCATCCCCATCGGCCACCATCCTCATCATCATTTTCATCATCGTCGTGCGCGTCAACATCATCATTGTCAACATGATCATAATCATCATCAACATCGCCGTCGCCATCGTCATCGTCACCGTCATCATCATCGTCGTCGTCATCATCATCATCATCATCATCATCATCATCATCATCATCATCATCATCATCATCATCATCAACATCAGCATCACCATCATCCTCATCATCATCATCATCATCATCATCATCATCATCATCATCACCATCATCGTCGTCGTCGACGACGTTCCCCTCTTCATTTTCTTCCCCTCCTCCTCCTCCCCCTCCCCCTCCTCCTCCTCCTCCTCCTCCTCCTCCTCCTCCTCCTCCTCCACTGCGCCCCCTGTGGGGCCAAGAACCGTTTGAGGGGCGCGCCGAAATGGACCCGAAGCCTGCTGCGCCCCCTGTGGGGCCACGAACCGTGTGAGGGGTGTCCCGAAATTGATCCGAAGTCTTCGGCTGCGCCCCGTGTGTTGCAACGAACCGTGTGAGGGGTGCGCCGAAAATGGCCCCGAAGCCTTGGCTGCGCCCCCTGTGGGGCCACGGGCCGTGTGAGGGGTGCGCCGACATGGACCCGAAGCCTTCGGGTGCGCCCCATGTGGGGCCGCGAAAGCCTTCGGTTGCGCCCCTTGTAGGGCCACGAACCGTGTGAGTGGTGCGCCGAAATGGACCCGAAGCCTTCGGCTGCGCCCCCTGTGGGGCCACGAACCGTGTGAGGGGTGCGCCGAAATGGACCCGAAGCCTTCGGGTGCACCCCATGTGGGGCCACGAACCGTGTGAGGGGTGCGCCGAAATGGACCCGAAACCTTCGGCTGCGCCCCGTGTGGGGCCACGAACCGTATGAGGGGTGCGCCGAAATGGGCCCGAAGCCTTCGGGTGCGCCCGATGTGGGGCCGCGAAAGCTTTCGGCTGCGCACCTTGTAGGGCCACGAACCGTGTGAGAGGTGCGCCGAAATGGTCCCGAAGCCTTCGGCTGCGCCCCCTGTGGGGCCACGCACCGTGTGAGGGGTGCACCGAAATGGGCCCGAAGCCTTCGGGTGCGCCCCATGTGGGGCCACGAACCATGTGAGGGGCGCTCCGAAATGGGCCCGAAACCTTCGGCTGCGCCCACATGTGGGGCCACGAACCGTGTGAAGGGTGCGCCGAAATGGACCCGAAGCCTTCGGGTGCGCCCGATGTGGGGCCGCGAAAGCCTTCGGCTGCGCCCCCTGTGGGGCCACGCACCGTGTGAGGGGTGCGCCGAAATGGGCCCGAAGCCTTCGGGTGCGGTCCCTGTGGGGCCACGAACCGTGTGAGGGGTGCGCCGAAAGAATCCCGAAGCCTTCGGCTGCGCCCCGTGTGGGGCCACGAACCGTGTGAAAGGTGCGCCGAAATGGGCCCGAAACCTTCGGCTGCGCCCCCTGTGGGGCCACGAACCGTGTGAGGGGTGCGCCGAAATGGGCCCGAAGCCTTCGGGTGCGCCACATGTGGGGCCGCGAAAGCTTTCGGCTGCGCACCTTGTAGGGCCACGAACCGTGTGAGGGGTGCGCCGAAATGGTCCCGAAGCCTTCGGCTGCGCCCCCTGTAGGGCCACGAGCCGCGTGAGGGGTGCGCCGAAATAGTCCGATGGAACCCTGTAGGGGTTCTATGGGACTCCGATGGAACCCTGTGGGGGTCGAATGGGAGTCCGATGGAACTCTGTAGGGGTTTTATGGGCGTCCTATGGAACCCTGTAAGGGTCGTGTGGGAATCCTATGGAACCCTGTACGGATCCCACAGGATCCTCCTGTAGGGGTGCGTTGTGTTGTGTTGTGTTGTTCCCCCCCCCTCCCCCCCTCCCCCCCCGGGGGGGCTTGCCCCGCCTGTATCATCAACATCAACATCATCATCAGCGTCATCATCAGCAGCATCAGCATCAGCATGATCATCATCAGCAGCAGCAGCATCAGCATCAGCAGCAGCAGCATCATCATCATCCTACGCCTCCTTCTCCTCTTCCTCATCGTCATCAGCAGCAGAACCATCATCATCGGCATCATCCTCATCATCATCAGCATCATCATCGTCATCGTCGTCGTCATCATCATCTTCATCATCACCATCCTCCTGCCCCTCCTCCTCCTCACCATCATCACCATCATCAGCATCGCCATCATAAAATTCCCATCATCACCATGATCATCATCGTCAGCAATCGCATTCAGCATCAGCATCATCATCATCATCACCATCATCATCAGCATCATCGCCTTCTCCGTGATCGTCACCGCCATGTTCACCGTCGACATCATCTCAACAACCAGTACCGTCGTACTAACCATCGCCATCGTCGGAATCGTCATCGCAGTCGTATTCGGTATCGTTGCCGCCAGAAACATGACCCGTGCTACGCATGGCCGCACTATCCTGTGTGAATCGCAGACCAGTGCTTGTAGTCACAGTGGCACAGTTTGCAAGCGAACCCTGTTATGACAACCTGGTGCTGGGCAGAGCTGGTAGTCACCTGCTTCGGTTGTCGGCTCGTGCCACGCGTGACGCGCGCCTGCGGGCGAGGCGACGCTGCGCGAGCTCCTGCACCGGCCGGGCCCACGCCAAAGAGGAGTCAAATCCCCCCCTCGCCCGATTCGTACCCGGGGATGTCCCGCGGTCGTCCCGCGGCTGTCCCGCGGTTGTCCCGTGCTTGTCCCGTGGTTGTCCCGGAGTTGTGCCGTGGTTGCCCCACGGGTGTCTCGCGGTTGTCCCGCGGGTGTCCCGCGGCTGTGCCGCGGCCGTCTCGCGGCTGTCCCGTGGTTGCCCGTGGTTGCCCCGCGGTTGTCTCGTGATTGTCCCGTGGTACTCCCGCGTATGGATAGACACACAGTGCGACCGATAAATATTTGTAGATACAGCGATGTCGATAGACAGAGACATAAGGAGATCGAGCGGGAGAGAGATCAATTGATACTTTGGTAGTGGGGTCCACTGATAGGTAGCGCGGACAGATGGAATTATAGGCCGCGAATCCGATCCGACGCCAATCGCAAACCGATAGCTACACCCACCCAGGCCCAACCACAACCTCCTTATCACCCTAAGGGTGGTCCTACATGTAATGAGATCCATATCATTGGCATGGCTTTTCATATCTCCAGTGCACCGTGCATCCCGCAGCACATCCCGCGGCCAAAGCTTCCAGCACGGCCTCCCCACGCAGATTGGAAGGAGATCGAGGCGAAGAAGCGTCGATGTGGTGCGAAAGATGAATACGCCTTGATGTCCAAGCCACGAGCAGCCACATCGGTCGCGACGAGCACCTGGGCTGCCCAAGACGAAGAAGAAGACGAGGCAACGACGGCGAGAGACCAAAGAGCAGAGGGTAGAGGGCAGCGAGCGGAGGACGGAAGGTAGAGGGCAGCAGGTAACGGGCAGAGGAAAGAGGGCGGAGGGTGGAGGGCAGAGGGTAGAGGGTAGAGCGCAGAGGGAAGAGGGTCGAGGATGGAGCGCAGAGGGTAGACGGTGGAGGGTGAACGGTGGAGGGTGGAAGGTGGACGGTGGACGGTAACAGGTAGAGGGTAGAAGGTACAGACCAGACGGTGGAGCGTGGAGGGTAGAGCGTAGAGGATCCGTAGGCCCATTATTGGGGCACCCGACTGCAAGGTGGTAGCGGAACTGATGCATTGTCGGCGTATCGTGTCTCTTCTCCAGTCCTGCCTCATGACGTCTGTCTCTTCAATCCTGTCTATTTTTCTGCTGTCTACCAGGGGTACTCGAAGAGGGCCCCAGCCGTCCCCAGGAGAGCCCCAAGAGGCCCCAAGAGACGCTCCAGAGAGTCCGTGAGAACCCCAAGGTGCCCCCGACATGGCCGAAGAGGGCCTCGCGACCCTGTAAAGCAAGCCCCGAGAAGCCACCGAGAGGGCCCAGCCCAGCACAAGTGAAAACCACGCTGCGTTTCCGCTGTGTTTTGCCTCTCGCCTTTTCTGTTCCCAGCGAGCGACAGATAGCCCCAAGATGGCACTCAGAGATGCAGACGTGCTCCCAATGTCGCCCAAGATGGTCTGAAGGTGGGGGGCCCGAGGCCCCAAGGTGCCCCCAAGCTCGCCCGAGGCGGCCCCAGCAGGGCACCGGGACGGCCCTGGGAGGACCTGGAGAGAGGCCCCAGGACGGCTCGAAAACGCCCAAAGGTAATCACAAAAAGCGCCAAGGTCATCGCTGCCCCGATACGCGACACGCGTATAGCGTCTTGACACGGAGCTCCACACGTAGATTGAAAACGCAGATCTGGCGCGATACGCTCGCCAAAACGTGGGCCAACACGCGCGGAAGGGGCGCGTGGAACACGGCACGTTCCGCGCCTCAACATGTGCGCATCAGGGCAGCCAAGCCCAGGCTGGCGGCAGGGAGGGCGCAGCCCTCAAGATCCGCCGTCCCCTGCGGTCTGTCCACGGGGGTGCCCAGCGTGCCGAGCGCTCCTCCCCTGGGGCACTGCGCGGGCCCCTCTCATACAGAAGCTCCCCGCGAGCCCGCCGCCCTCTGCCGCTGCGCGTGCGCACCCGCACAGAGCCGCCCTCCGGACCTCTCCAGGCCCGCACGAGAAGGGACCGCGGAGGGCCCAGAGACGGCCCACGAGGCCCCCCGGGGCGGCACAAGACGGCACCTGGAGGCTGCAGAGGCGGGCCCCAAGAGGCCCCCGAGATGGCCAGTGCAGCCTCATGGCCCCCCAAGACGGGCCGGGGGGGGCCCACGACGGCCCACGAGGCTCAGAAGGCGCCCAAAAAGTGCTGGAAAAGACACCTCCAGAAGACCCCCCCAAAAAAAATGTGAAACGCATCCAGCTGTTGTGATCACTGCGAACTGTAGCACACTTGCCTTATCGTCCCGAGACCTCACAGGACGGCCCAGGAGACCCCCTAGATGGCCCCAAGACGGCGCAAAGAGCCCCGGGACGGCCCACGAAGGCCCCAAGGCGCCCCAAGAGGGCCCCGAAACGCCCCAAGAGGTGTCTGCCACCCACGACAACCCTGCCGTACCCGCCCCGTCTATCGCCCCCATTGTTTGAGCGGGCCTGTCAATGGTCTATGGTCTGTGGGCTTTTCCGGGCCACAGGGAGCGGCACTGACTCGCCAGCGGCGTCTTCGATAGAGGGCCGAAGGGAGCATGGGCAGGGGAAGGGACAGCGGGGAGGGGATGGCGTCACCCACGCGCGCACACTTTTTGGCGGCTGCCGGCCCGCGCGCAGCGCCGAGGCGGAGAGAGTCACACCGAGCGGGCGGGCCCACGCGCGCGGCGGGCCCCACAGAGCGCGCAGGGAGAAACACGTTGCATCAACCATGCCATCCGCATGCCAGGGCGTGGGCGGCGAGGGTGCAAAGGGATGGGCAGAGAGATGCCGTCGCGCGATGCGAAGTTCCCCCCTCCCCACCGAATCCTCCTCCTCCTCCTCCTCCTCCTCCTCCTCCTCCTCCTCCTCTCCTCCTCCTCCTCCTCCTCCTCCTCCTCTCCCCTCCTCCTCCTCCTCCTCCTCCTCCTCCTCCTCCTCCTCCTCCTCCTCCTCCTCCTCCTCCTCCTATGCGCACCGCGTGGCGGATCCAGGTCGCTGGAGGGAGGAAAAGGGCAGAGCCCGGGCCGAGGCGAGGCACAGCACGGCGAAAGACAGAGGGGCGGCCGGGGCGGCCGAGGCCAGAGCCACAGAGGCAGCACGCGGCCGCAGGAGGCGGCAGGCGGGGAGGCCAGCCGGTGCGAGGCCGTGCGCGCCGGTGCGGGCGACCCTAGGCTTGTGGACGCCATGGCAAGGGACACTCTGACGATCCTATCGTAGAACTAAAGATGTGTTTATAAAATGTTTGAAAGGGAATTATACACATTGCTAAAGCATGGCGTTACATGTCTAAGGCATGCTTGACACATGTGTGGGACATCTGGAAAGTATTTGGCTACACGCTTCCGCTTCAGTGAACGCCTTCCCACAACCCTAGGCACAAACAGGCACACGGGGGCGGCGAGGCTCTGGGCAGGGGAGGGGCCGAGGCGGAGCGCAACGCGAGCGTAGGGCCATCCTCCACCTCGTCGGCCGGTCCCACGGGCGCCAGTGCCAAGACAGGCGTGACTGGCGTGGGCGGAGAGCAAGCTAATGCCCAGAGCGGCGCTGGGACCGCGCTTCTGCGAGCTTGGCTCGTCGACTGAAGCCGGGGCGTGGGTTATGGCTCCCAATCCTCAGGGACGCTCAGGACAAGGGTACAGAGCTGTTCGTCAGAGAAGAAGCATAAGGCCCGTCTGGGCGGAGCCGGCCATTGCGGGCCCAGTGACACGGGCCAGACCCCGCCGTTTGAGAGCGGCCCGAGCTGCAGCCGGGGCACCAGGGGCCCGCATGGCGTCCAGCCTTGGGCGTAATAGGGAGGCGATCAATGGGGGGGAAGAGGGCTGCACTTCTCGGGCCTCAAGGCCCCCCCTGTGTGCCCTGAAGGGCCCCAGGTAGGGGCCCTACATGGCCCCTGTTCTGCAGCCCTCGCCGCCCTCCCCATTGATCGCCCCCCTGAGCAGGAACGATCTCGGCACCCAGCACTGTGGGAGGAGGAGGAGGAGGAGGAGGAGGAGGAGGAGGAGGAGGAGGAGGAGGAGGAGGAGGAGGGGAGGAGGAGGAGGAGGGGGAGGAGGAGGAGGAGAGGGAGGAGGAGGAGGAGGAGGAGGAGGACCAGCACTGTGCCTCCAGGGTCCGATCGGCTCCCCCTTCGGGCGTGGCCTCTCGGCCCTCGGGCCGTTCACGCTCTCGGATCACACAGTTTTTGCTGGTCTGGCCAGCGCCTCCACGCCGTCCTCCCTCACGCGACGGCTGCTCCCGCTTCTGCTTCTCCCTTCCCTCCCTCCGTCCGTCCACGTCCATCCATCGATCCCTGCTCCCTCGTTCTTCCTTGTTCCTCCTCCGCCAGCTTCTCCTCCTCCTCAACCTCCATCTCCAACACCGCATCGTCAACAACATCATGTTCAGCTTCCTCACTGTATCGCCTCGTCCATTCCCACTCCTCCTTCCCCGCCTCCTTGTCGTCCTCCTCCTCCTCCTCCTCCTCCTCCTCCTCCACCTCTTCATCATCATCCTCTCCACTCTCGCACCCCTCCTCGTATTCCCTCTTCAATTATCTTCATTTCCATTCCTCCTGCCCCTCATCATCCTCCTCATCCTCATTACCCCCTCTACTCATTCTCTTCCTGCGCCTCATCAGCATACTGTTCACTAGTCAACTTTCCTCCCTCGTGCATCCACCTCATCAACATCATGATCCTCCCCTCGTGCCTACGCATCCGCAGTCCACTCATTATATCTCTCTCCCCATCTCTCGCCCATTCAATGTTCCCCCATTCATCATCCCTCATCCGTCCTTGTCTCTTCTGCTCTCATCCTCTTACTCATCCTCACGTTAGTAAGCCTCATGCTCGACCTCCTCCTCCTACTCCTCCGCCTCCTCCTCCTCATCGGACTCAGATTCCTCCTCATCCTCCTCGTTATCCTCCTCCTCTTCATCCTCCTCCTCCTGATCATCATCATCAGCATCATCAGAATGATCATCGTCATAATCAGCATCAGCATCATCATCACCCTCGTCAGCATCATCATCAGCATCATCAGCATCATCAGCATCATCATCAGCATCATCATCAGCGTCCTCATCCTCATCCTCATCCTCATCCTCGTCCTCCTCATCCTCATTATCAAACGCATCCTCATCCTCGTCCTCATCCTCATCCCTCCCTCATCCCTCCCCTCCCTCCCTCCACTCTCTCACGTCCCCGTGTCAACGTCTCACATGTCCTTAGCTGTCCCTGCTCCCTCGCTGACCTTCATTCATTCCCTCATGCCTCCCGGTTTCCTCCCGCCTCATGTTTCGCACACCCTTGTTGCTCCTCCTCCTCCTCCTCCTCCTCCTCCTCCTCCTCCTCCTCCTCCTCCTCCTACTCCTCCTTCTCCTCCTCCTTCAACCCCCACCAGCTCCATCCGTTTTCCCTATAAGCAACTCACCCCTGTCACATCCCAAGACGTGTCGAAAGGGCGGACCTGGTGTTTTGCTTGAGACCTCCTTATCCTTCATGGCCCTGAAGCTGAAAATTATAAACAGCTACACGAATGGACAGGGTGTCATTTTTCAATACGAGGCTCTCGTATCAGCGCCGCGCAGGATAAAACATATGCAGTTGTGGGTACCGCAATTGTGAATATCTTCTTCGGTGAAGCTCCTTTTGGGGCCACGAAGCGCTGCACTGGGTGGGGGGGAACGCTGTACTGGGTGGGTGGTGTGCCAAATTGGGTTTCCGGGACGCATGCGAACGGTCCCCCACTGGGGGCTTCGGTGGAGCTCCCTATGGGGCCACGAAACGCTGTACTGGGTGAGTGAAAATGTCAAATTGCGTTTCCGGGGCGCATGCGGACGGTCCCACTGGGGGCTTCGGTGGAGCCCCCTATGGGGCCACGAAACGCTGTACTGGGTGAGTGAAAATGCCACATTGGGTGCGGACGGTGGCACTGGGGCCTTCGAGGGAGCTCGCTATGGGGCCATGAAACGCTGTACTGGGTGGGTGAAAAAACGACATTGGGCTTTCGGGACGCATGCGGACGGTAGCACTGGGGCCTGCGGTGGAGCTCCCTCTGGGGCCCCGAAACGTTGTACTAAGTGGGTGGAAATGCCAAATTAGGTGTTGGGGGACGCTTGCGGACGGTCCAACTGGGGCCTTCGGTGGAGCTCCCTATGGGGCTACGAAACGCTGTACTGGGTGGGTGAAAATGCCAAATTAGGCGTTGCGGGACGCTTGCGGACGGTCCCACTGGGGCCTTCGGTGGGGCTCCTTATGGGGCCACGAAACGCTGTACTGGGTGGGTGAAAATACCAAATTGGGTGTTTCGGGACGCATGCGGACGGGCCCACTGGGGGGTTCGGTGGAGCTCCCTTTAAAACCACGAAACGCTGTACTGGGTGTGCGGGACGCAGGCGGACGGTAGCACTGGGACCTTCGGTGGGGCTCCCTATGGGGCCACGAAACGTTGTACAGGGTGGGCGAAACGCAGGGACGAGGGGGGGGAGGGCCACGAAACGCTGTACTGGGTGTGCGGGACGCAGGCGGACGGTAGCACTGGAACCTTCGGCGGGGCTCCCGGTGGGGCCACGAAACGCTGTACTGGGTGGGTGAAACGCAGGGAGGAGGGGGAGGAGGGAGGAGAGAGGAGGGGGAGGAGGAGGAGGAGGAGGAGGAGGAGGAGGAGGAGGAGGAGGAGGAGGAGGAGGAGGAGGAGGAGGAGGAGAACGCGGGCGCTGTCTCTTCAAAACGAGGACCCAAAGCCACAGGATGGTTGGGAAAGACAGGCTGCTCCTCCCAGTCGGGCTCTCGCTCGAGACCCTCCCGAGTTGAATGTGGCCAGAGGTGCAGACTCGTGCAGCAGTTGCACGGACGGGGGGAGGCGGGCCCTTCTCAGAGCGGGGCTTCCGCTGGACACATCGCTGAGCGTGATGGGTCGCTGGAAGCATACGCATTCGTCCGACTTGCCACAGGTCTGGTGACTTATGACATGTCCTGCCTTCTCGCGTGCCCTGCGAATCGCTCGAACGACAAAACGCAACTCTTGTTCAAAACGGGGCTCTCGCCTGAATGGGACGCCCGAGGGTGTTCGACACTCCAGTTGGCGATTCTTGCATTTAGAAGGAAGGATTGCAGAGACTATGGTATAGTGAGGGAAAGCTTGGAACGGGAGGTCGCATCGTAGCATCGGTGATGCATCCTGGGTTTACTCTGGTACGCCTCCCCTCTTCTTCCTCCTCCTCCTCCTCCAACTCCTACTCCCAATCCTCCACGTCGTCATCATCATCATCATCAGCAGCAGCAGCAGCATCATCAGCACCATCACCACCACTACCACCACCACCACCACCACCATCATCATCATCATCATCATCATCATCATCATCATCATCATCATCATGATCATGATCATGATCAGCATCATCATCAGCAGCAGTAACATCATCACCATCACCACCACAGCCATCATCAGAATCAGCATCATCATCATCAGCAGCATCACCATCATCGGCATCATACATCATCATCATCATCATCATCATCATCATCATCATCATCATCATCATCATCATCATCATCATCATCATCCTCATCATCATCATCATCAGCATCATCACCAGCAGCATCATCCGCATCATCAGCAGCATCATCATCATCCTCATCCTCATCATCGTCATCATCATCAGCATCCTCATCATCATCAGAATCAACATCATCATCGTCATCATCATCGTCGTCATCGTCATCGTCATCGTCATCGTCATCGTCATCGTCTCCGTCATCGTCGTCGTCATCACCACCACCATCACTTTCATCCTCACCCACCCTCACTCCTCCTCCTCCCCCTCCCCCTCCTCCTCCTCCCCCTCCCGCGCCAGGCCCCCAGACCGCGCCTTGTGGCGTCCATTCTTCAGGCCGTTGAGGGCGTCGTCGCGCTTGGGGGACGAGGCCGAAGATGGAGGAGGGAGGGGAGACGAGGAGAGGGGAGGTTTAGGAGGCAATTCCTGAGCGGCTTCGTTGGAACGCCTAGAAACTGTTCAGCCTGATCGGCGGGCTACGAAGCAAATGTATACCGGACAAATGAGGCCAAAGAATGGGCCAGATAAAACTAGATGCAACGAAATTAAGCGGGCGGGTTTCGGCCAGACTAAGACGACTTCCAACAACGGATATTCCAGCGACAATGCTGAATTCAACCTCCCAGAAATTACCACCGAAAGGCGGGGAGGGGAGGGGAGGGGGAGAGGATTCTTGAGAGCTTTCGTGAGACGACGGCAATGAAAAGAAAGCACCGGGCAAAGAGACATCGAAACTTCTTGGAAAACTGGCGTGCCTGGAGAATGCAACGGGCGCCGCGGCCTGTCCACAGCGTTCCAGGACAATCTGAGAAAATTCTGGATTGTTGTGGAACGATTTGTCTTCTCACTGGGTCTGCAAAATTTGGCTTGAGGCGGATCCCTCAGAAGTGCACGAAGTCGAGTCGATCGCCCGAGACGGCACCGCAGCCGATCTCTTTCTATCTCTCTCTCTCTCTCTCTCTCTCTCTCCCTCGCCGGTCTCTCCCTCGCTGGCAGCACATCCGTAAACGCACACACACACACACACACGACGAACTTTAGACGCCGCGGCCATTTGGTCCAACGCCGCGGTTTCTAGAGCGGGACACGCCTAGATCAAGTACTACCACTAGGTCGGGCATGTCCCACTACAGGGGGATCTTGGAAGAAAAATTAGAAATGCTCAAAAATACACCAAAATGTTCAAAAACAGTCAAAAAGTCGTCCCTACATTATGTTCTGACTATTTTTGAATATTCCTCCTGCAAAGGGATAGGCCCGACCGACTACTACCAAGCGTTTGCCGGAGGATGGCCAGGACGTGGCTGTCGCGCGCAGGAAGAAAGGAGGGGCGGGGCCAGTGCACGCGGAGATGGCGACGCGGAGCGGGGTGCGGACGCACGGAAAAAAACAAAAAAACAGGAGGGGCCTGGCATTAGGTCGGGCCTGTCGAAACAGTAGAGATGCTCAAAAAATACCCCCAAAATGCTCAAAAGTAATCCAAAAATCATCCCCCGAGCTATTTTGTAACTATTCTTGAATACCCCTCCTGTAGAGGGACAGGCCCGACCGGAGCCTGGAGGGGCCTGGAATTAGGTCGGGCCTGCCGAAAAAGTAGAGATGCTCAACAAAATACTCCCAAAATGCTCAACAATAGTCCAAAAATCATCCCCCGAGTTACTTTGTAACTATTCTTGAACATCCCTCCTGTAGATAGGGGGCCACATGCGAACCCGACCCCTACCCCCCACGATTTCTGAGGGGGAGGGTGGGGTTCACGTCGTTCGGGAGCTCCCGAGCGAAGTGAACCCCACCCTCCCCCTCAGAAATCGTTGGTGGGGGGGGGGGTAGGGGTAGGGTTCGCATGTGGCCCCCTAGCAGAGGGACAGGCCCGACCTGAGCCTGGAAACGCCACCGGCCGCGACCCGCCCGGGAGCGCGAGGCGGGCGCAGCAGAGGGCGACTGCAGCGGCGAGGGCCCGTTGGCACTGAGGGGGTCGTGGCAGAGGACACCTGGGACAGGGGCGGCACGCCCCCCGCCCTGGGAGGTGCCGCGGTAATCCTGAACGCTCGAGCTGCCAGCCTTCGTCGCCGCATGGACGGGGGGCGAGGCGAAGCGACCGTGGACGACAGGGGGGGGCCGGTCGCGATGCCCGTCGGCGCTGCCCCGCGGCCGGGCCAGCGCAGCCTCGGCAGGACGCAAGGCGGGAGCCAGGCGCCGCCCCGTCTGGGCACCGGGGCGCGCGACCCACCTGGGCGAGGCGGTGCACTGGAGCACCGATTTCCAGCCGTGGCGGCGAGGGACGCTTGAGGTGTCCGCGGTGGTGCCCCTCCGTTCTACAAGCCTTCCGTGGCGACGAGGGCCCTCTCTCTGCGCCGGCCACCCTACTGCCGCCATACGCCCTGGCCGAGGCGTCATCGAACAAGAGTCGGACGGCGGGCACGCGCCCTTCTTGGGCCCAGCGGGACATGGGAGGGAGGGGGCCCGGTAGACCGCCGGCTCCGGGACGGTGCGGTTCTGGTAGGGGCGGTCCTGGCACGGGGTTCGTTTGTCCGCCGTGGGGGCGGCACTGCCTCCTGTCGATGCAGGCAGCCATGGCTGGAGGGTCGTTGGCGGCCCCCGTGCTCAACCCCTGCTCCTCGCCTGGAGACTCACACACGCACACGTTCGAAGAATCCACACTGCACCCCTCCACCTCAGCCACAGACCACCACAGAGCGAGACGCTAGGCGCGCAAAATCAAAACCTCCTTGGCCACTCGGGCTGCTCATTCGGCGCCCGATACACCCTATCAATGCGAGGCGCATCAGACATTCAGGGTGACTCAACTCTTGCTCGGTGATGCCATTCTGCTTGGCCGCCGCCCTCAATTACTTCGCGATTTCAGATGAAGGGCCAGAACGACGGGGAAGAAAGGGTCCAGATAATACAAGTAAAACCGAGAACTGGTAAGGACTGCAATTGCCGTTCTGACTATTGGAGCCAAAGCCAGTATAATAACTGGCTGCGCATCTTGAGCAGAGCCGTGCCTTACAGCACATCTATGATACAGATTCAAGTGGCATGGCGTTATCATTTCGGAGTGATTCGAAAAGTTTGAGCGAAACAGCTGGCATCATAATCATGTCACTCATTGTCTCCAGGTCTACCAACGCCGGATTCGTAGTAGATCGAAAGCCTTTTCTCCAAATCGTGCTCTTCGCGTCGCAACGTCAACATCGCCTCATCACTGCATCAGTGGCGATGGCTGTAAAGTTGCTGCTGGCTTTGATGCAATCGTCCCCCTGCTGGACTTGCCACTCTGGGCATTGCCTATATCACCTGCTTACCAGCCCCCGTTTCGAATAAACTTCACAGCAGGTCTACCCTGCCATGTCGTCATTGCGGCTCCGAACTTGTAAATCCCTGCACCGAAGGCACCCCCAAGCCCCCACGCACCTTATGCGACTCCCCCTGCGATCATTAACGTGCCCCGCGGCATGGGATGCAACCCACAGCCAGCAAGAGAGAACAAGAGGTCGAAGCCGTCGCGCTCCAGGCCCCAGAGCGCCATCCCCCCCAACCCCCTCGCAGCGCGATGCCAGACGCGCGCGGCGGCGCACCTGAATATGTGACACCACCTCCGCCTGGAGCACCCCCGTGGGCACTCTCGCCTCACTCCGTTTGTCGTCCCTCTCCTGACCCTCCTCCTCTCCTCCTCCTCCTCCTCCTCCTCCTCCTCCTCCTCCTCCTCCTCCTCCTCCTCCCCTCCTCCTCCTCCTCCGCCTCCCCCTCCTCCGCCTCCTCCCCCTCTTCCCCCTCCTCACTCTTCCTCCTCCTCCTCTTTCTCCCGCTCCCCATTCCTCGCCTCTGAGCTGCCGCTGCGCTGTCGGCCGCTCTGCCGTCCCCGAGGGGGGCAGAGCATCCTGTGTCTGATCCTTATCGCCGTGGATGGAAGTGCAGGGCACGCGCTGGCGAACGAGCGCGCCAGGGAGAGGGCGGGCCCAGACGCCGAGATCCCAGAAGTCCGCGCGGAGCGCCGACAGGTTTATGCTCATGCAGCCTTTCTTCCTCGAATCCTGACGGCGATGACTCTGGCGTTGAAGGCAGCACGACCCACCCCGACCCCCACCAGGACCCCCACTCCCCGAGGGGGGCAGAGCATCCTGTATCTGATCCTTGTCGCCGTGGATGGAAGTGCAGGGCACGCGCTGGCGAACGAGCCCGTTGGAGAGCTGCTCGCACATGCGCTTCGTGTTGGCGAAGACGAGGGCCTCGCGGGGTCAAGGGGCCGATGCTTGACCCTTGGCCATGGGCAGCGCGGGGGGGGGACCTGCTCACGAGGGGAGCATCGACCTGGCATCGGCGATACATCGCCGAGTGATCGGCGAGAGGCCCCCGAGAAGCAAAACCGCACACTCCTGGGTTGAGGTGGGCTGTTGGGCCCCCGTCGGCGAAATGGGCGACTTGGGGTTGATGCATCCCCCCCTGAGCTTCTCGACCCCTAACGTTGCCCCTCAAGAACGCTTTCGCCATCCCCTGAGATTCGACGTCGCGGGAAAATGCAACATCGTGAAAAATCACGACCAGAGCACTTGACCTGACTTTTGCCCATCACAGTACAGCAGGCGTGGCACTCGAGGACCCCAAGGAGCTGCCGCAAGGGGGTAGGACATTTGCCAGTTCGCCCTGATTGTGGGGGTGTCTCGAGCGGCTTGCCTGTTTGGTGACTAGACCCCTCTTTTCAGCGCCCCGTGCTCATCGCGATGTCTCAGGCGCGGCACTGGAGCATCCCGAGGAGGAGCTGCCAGGGGCTGGGACGTTTGCCCCTTCGCGCCCAGATCGTGGGGATGTCTCAGGCGGCTTGCCTCCCTGGCGGCCCAGACTCTGCTCGCGTCGGCGCCCCGTGCTCCTCGCGACGCAGCAGGCGCGGCACTCGCACGCTTCCAAGAGGAGTCGTCAGGTGACGGGACGCGTGCCCCCTCGCGCTCCCTGTGGGGATGCCTCGGGCGGCTTGCCCGTCTGGTTGCTGCTGTGAGGGTGTCTCCCGCGAGGCGCCGACTTCAGCAGCCAGGGAGGAGCCGCAGGCGGGCAGGACAGTTTGCCCGTTCGCGCCCAGATTGTGGGGACGTCTCCAACGATTTGCCTGCTCGGTGGCTCGGACGCCGGCGCTTTCACAAACACAGTAGGAGGAGGGTGTCTCTCGCGAAGCGCTGGCTTCAGCATTCCAAGGGGCAGCCGCCAGGGGCGGTTGTACGGCCCCGCTCGCGCCCAGGCTGTGGCGATGTCGCAGGCGGTCTGCCCGTTCGGTGGCTCGGACGTCGGCGCTTCCGGAACATCTTGCGAGGATGCCTGGGGCGAGGCGCTGGCTTCAGCGCCCCAGGCGGCCAGATCGCAGGGATGCATCCAGCGAGGCGCGCGGTGCTGCATCTCCGACGCCTGGCCAGTGAGAGCCCCATGGTCGATTCGATAGAAAGGAGAGGGACGGCCGCCAGGACGGAGGAGGGAGTACGGAGGAGGAAGGAGGAGGGAGGGGGAGGAGGGAGAAGAGAGGACGGGGAGAAAGAGAAGGGAGGGAGAAGAGAGGAGGGAGAAGAGAGGAGGGAGAAGAGAGAAGGGAGGAGGGAGAAGAGAGGAGGGAGAAGAGAGAGGAGGGGGAGAAAGAGAAGGGAAGGGGGCACGACGAGTAATTAGAAAGAGGAAGGAGAGGGGAGGGGGCCCGCTCACCGCCTGTCTGTCTGTGGGCTATCATCGTCGTCGCTGCCACTCATAGTAGCCGCCGCTGTCGTCGAGCTCGTCGTCCGATCGGGCTCCCTCTCACGCCCTGACGCTCACGGCCAGACACTCACAGCGGGACGTGCCAAGAACTTTGCGGGCCCCGGAAACGGCAGGGCCGTGTTTTCACCGTTTCCAAAAAAAAGTCCCTTGAAAGTGGAAACGGCAAAAAACGGCGACCGGAAACGGCAAAAAAACGGCTCCAGGATTGGAACTGGAGCCGGAACCGGTCAAAAAACGGCGACGGAACCGGTAAAAAAACGGCGTCGGAACCGGCAAAAAAACGGCAAAACGGAAGCGGTAAAAAAACGGCCCTCTCGTTTCCAGGGCCCACTAAGGCCAAAAAATGAAATGCGCACATGGGGATCTCCGCGTCGAATAACTCTCAGCGTGACCCCCGGAAGGCTCGATCCATTGCCCAGGAGAGGCGTTTCATCCTGAGTCGTTACTTAACAATCCTGGGGCCCGGCGAGGGCCCCGAGAAGCCGAAAGTTGCAAAAGACCTGCCGCCGTGCTTTCTTCACGACGCGAGCATGTCTGAGGCGGCGGCGGCGGCGGCGGCGGCGGCGGCGGCGACGACGACGACAACAACGACGACGACGACGATTACGACGACGACGACGACGACGACGACGACGACGACGACGACGACGACGACGGCGACGACGACGACGACGACGACGACGACGACGACGACGACGACGACGTTGGCGACGACGACGACGGGCGGGACCTTCCCTTTGCTGTCTCTGTTCAGCAGCCCCGCTTCCTCCAGCAGGTCGAACACCGCCCTCTCCTGCGCGTCAGGGGCGGCGAGGAGAGGAGGGGGGCGAGAGAGGACGGGGGAAGATCCTCCTCCCCCTAGAGACCGTTTTCTTAATCGGCGATAACCCGGGTTATCCTGGGGGGGAGAGGGGGCCGGCCGATAACCTAACCTTCGCGCTGTGGGCAGCCCTGCATATGCCCGCGCCCCCCCACCCCGGACCTGCACAACTGGCAAGGTTAGGTTATCCTGGGGGGGGAGGGGGGGCAAGCCCGATAACCCGGGTTATCGCCAGACCCTAAAAGAAACAGTCTCCAGGGGGGCGAGAAGAGGAGGGGGGCGAGAGAGGACGGGGAAAGCTCCTCCTTCCCTTACGTGTAGACGTTGTTCGCTTCAACGGTTTAGGCTCGTTTCAACAAGCGAGGACGGTGACCACGCCTGAGGCTGCAAGGGCAGCGGCGCCCGCTTTGAGGAGGAACCGCCCGCCCACCCGCGTTTTTCCTCCGCATCGCAGCAAATGCTGTACACGATTTCGACTCTGGCGCTGGCCGGGGCGGACAAATTCCGCCCGCCCACCCGTGTACTGGGACCGAGGAAACAAATCTGGCGTCACCCTGGGACGAGCGCCGACCAGCCGAAACAGACCAGGGCAACGCTTGCCCTCCTCCAGGAAGGTTCCACCGTCCTCGTCAAAGCCGCGAGAGGTAAGTTGAGGAGCAGAGGGGACGCCGCCACCCCCCCCCGAGAGGGGAACAGAAATCGCAGAGGCCCTGCACCGTAGAGCACATGCGCCGCTGAGAACTTCAGGACGCAGGAGGACACGGCAGCCTCTGCAGCTGCTGAGTCCTTTCGAAAGACGTGGGGAGAGCAGCCGACAGAGAGTCGAGCGGAGTTCTCCCCGCTGTGAGAAAGTTGGTCGATACAAGAGGGCGAACGCCATCCTCCTCCTCCTCCTCCTCCTCCTCCTCCTCCTCCTCCTCCCCCTCCTCCTCCTCCTCCTCCTCCTCCTCCTCCTCACTGAGGCGAACAACCTCCTCCTCCTCCTTCCCGAGACTGCTGCTGTGGGTAGGCAGTGGCAGACTCGGGGCGGACAGGAGGTCGCAACGGAACTTAGACCATCTGGAGCAGTTACTGATCCTCCGATCTTCGGCGTCGGTGGGGATATCCGACGCTGAGAAGCTAGGCCTCCTGGAATTGTACAAAGCAGGAAGGTCCGCGAGCTCCAGGGGGCAGTTCACGGCACCGTCGCCATTCTTGGGATGCGGCCCCCGAGAAGCCTTGGATCAAACCCATTTCCCAGCCCTTGTTGGAACACGCTCACAGCGATGCTTCAATCTCCTAAGCCTGCCGTGAGGACTGTACTTTACAAAGCTGACATAAAATGAGCTTGGACTCGTCACTACAGTTGAGAGCGATGCAGGAATGTCCAAGGGCCAAACTATCGTCGATGAGCAACCCCCGAAGGCCTGGACAAGAGCGGGGGGGCATCTTGAGCCACCTACACCGGTATGCCCTGAGGCACTTCATACACTTCCAGAAATTACGGTATTGACGCCACTGGTGCTCCCTGTCAGGAGCCTGAGGTATGTGGGACAGCTTGGGCGCAGATGAAGACTCGAGCGTGCCAAGGTCCTGGA